GAAAGTGTCTTGGGCTGCCAAAGAACCAACAGATCTGTGTTGGAAAAAGTGCAGCCAAGAGTGCTCCTTGGAGGCCAGGATGGCCAAACTTCTTCTCTCATACTTTGGACATATTGTCAGGAGGGACCAGTCGCTGGAGAAGGATATCATGTTTGGTAAGGTGGAGGGTCAGAGAAAAAGAGGAAGACCCTAATGAGATGGATTGGCCAAGTGGCAGCATTGATGGACTCAAGCATGACAACAGTAGTGAGGTTGGCCCAGGATCAGGCAGTGTTTTGTTCTGCTGTGCATAAGGTCGCTATGAGTCAGTACCAACTCAGTGGCACCTAACAAGAACAAAAAAGAGAATCTTAAGAAAGATATCCTCAATTCCAAACTGGGGTTGGGGGGTATATTGTACAGTAGTTTAAAATTAAACGTTTGAGTTAGAAGTAGACAGAAAATCAGCCAGGAAATAGGAAATGTGAACACTATATACCAACTGGTTCAAACTCACCAGTTGCTGCTCAGAAAACCCAATACAAGGTATCTATGAGTTGGAACATCACTTAACAACAATAACAAATATACCAACTGGGCCTAACAATCAACCAGTGACACATTCTTCTTGTATACATGGGCCATTCACTGGGGTGGATCCTACATGAGACTATAAAATAAGACTCAATAAATGTAAAAACACTGAAATCTTGCAGATTATCTGCCCTGACCTCATTAGAAAATCATAAATTAATAATGTGAAGAAAATTGGAAAATTTACAAAGATATGTGAAAATTAAATTTCAGTGTCCTTAATGGTGGTGGTTATGTGCTGTGGAGTCGGTTCCGACTCATAGCGACCTTGTACAGGGTTTCCGAGGCTGTAAATCTTTACGGGAGCAGAAATCCTCATCCTTCTCCTGCAGAACAGCTGGTAGTTTCAAATTGCTGACCTTCATAGCCCGATTCGTAACCACTACGCTACCAGAGCTCCTTAGTGTCCTTAATAGCCAGTGGGTAATGAAGAAATCATAAAGGGATTGACAATAAAAATGTACATACCGAAAAATACAGGAAGCAGCATAAAGCAGTTTCCAGGAAAATCGTTATAGTTGAAAACACCTGCCTGTAAAAGGAAGAAAGATCTTTAGTCAGTAACCTGATATTCCACCTAAGACAATGGAAACAGAAGAGCAAACAACATAAAGAAAGTTCAAGAATGACAACAGTAAAAATAAGAACAGAAAGAAATGAAATAGAAAAACAACAGAGAAAATCAGAGAAACCTAAAGTTGGTTCTTTAAAAAGAGCAAAATTACTAAAATCAAGAAAGAAAGAGGGGACGTTACTTTCAATCTTAAAGAAATGAAAAGCATCATAAGGGAATACTATGAACAGCTAATTGTGTGCTAACAAATTGAATACAAGGTTACAATCCCCCTCCATGCATCATCAACCAACCAAAGAGTCTACCCTGAAAGCCTGCCCCCCTGGTCATCAACACACAGCCCCTCTTCCTCTCTGGGTCTAAAGTCCCCAGCCTCTCCATCTCTCTACATCATCATCTCTGCCTTCCATTTCTGGTGTCACTGCTTCTCTGGGTAGGGTCCCGCATTCTGCTCTTCTCCCTTGATGGTCCAAAGGATCTTCACTCCTAGATTGCAAAGTCAGTCACTCCCCTCCTTTTGCTACAAAACATCTACCTTTACATTTCCAACCCTCACAGTCAGTGCTGATAACAGTTATTCACTACTGTATCACAAGAGAACTATTCGAGTCTCCTTTCATCAGCCTGCCTAGATAGATTGGATAATACTCAGTGGAGATTCTACCTTCGTCCGCACCCTCTGGCTCTAGGCTCCCTCTTAAAAGCTTGTAAACCAGTCACTTCTTGCCTTTGTAGTCCCCGTCCGCCCCCCCGCCCCCCGCATTTTGGGTAGCCAGTGTCTAAGTTGCCCATCCCTGTCTACTTTGTGTATGGAGGGGGTGGGAATGATCCTCACTGTAAAGATTTGTTCCCTCTTTTTAGCTACTGCATCCATAGGTGTAGGTCAAGTTCATCAAATTGTTATCATGTTATTCCTTTTTCCCTCTTTCTTTTTCTAGTTGAGCTCTCATCACCCAGTCATTGAAAACAGGTCAAGTGGGTATTATCTGCAAGTATGGGTGTTCTTATGCATATGCCCTCTTTTCTTATCAGCTGGACGCTTCACTCTCCACTCTAGTCCTCTGTGGCTATGTCACTGACTCCTGGGCCCAAGAGTCCCCAGGTCTTGCCACACTGCTAGGCAACCACATCTCTAGCCGGGTTCACAGGAGTCTATTGAACATTGTAGGGCTTAGCTCACGGCTTCATTGCTGTTTTTCCCTCACTTCTCTTTATCTGTGATGAACTTTGTTACCAATCAGAGCGTGTATTCCCATTGAATCGTAGCTAGGAAGGGCGTTTGCCCTGAGGGGACCCGACCACTTGCCTTGATGTCTCCTGGGTGAGCAACTTGCTTGTTCTTGTTGTAATCATTCAGACTGCCTTTATTGTTTGCATTTTTCCTCTTGGCCTTTCTTTCAAGTAGTATCTTCTGTTTCAGCCACTCCAGGCTGGTCTGGTTGTCCTTTCAAGTGGAAATATCCCACCTCAGAAGATTCTGGATGGGGTTCAGAATTCCACCTATGGTCTTATGTAATGCAGAGGCTCCATAGGAAACCTCCTTCACTGGGCATGTTGTAGCCCCATTTTAGGTATTCCAATCAGTTATAGGCAGAAGATAGATTTAACATAGCTTATGCTAGTATTGAGAGGTTTATCTTCAAGCTCACTATTTCT